GGGAAAAATTTGATTCTTGTAAATCAACCAAGAATGAGGAAAAATATGTCTTTTAAATGGTCAGTGTTTGGGGATTTTGGTTAAGATGATACTCCTATTTTGTTATTGACTAAGACATAGCAGTCTTTTGTAACTCTTAACTCTTTGTAACTCTCTCCACATTATTTTCACATTGTAACCTTATTTTTATTTATTAAGGTAATTTTGGTTTAATTAATTACTTCATCTTTTGTTCTAAAATCTTCACTTTTAGAGGAAGTATAATAAAATCATGGAGCTTCAAAATATGAGGACTGTTATTTGCAATAATTTTGTCATTTGGGTTTAATTTCTTTGTGCTCGAGAAAACATTTTTATACACTGGTTTTAGCTGTTTGAAAGTAATTCTAAAAATGTCTGCACTTCAGGGCAAGTTCTCTATGTTCTCTATACCTTCTCTATGTATTTTACAAAAGAGATTCTAGACAAAAACAGCTAACTGTAAACCTGCACACACAGCAGCCATAGTACTTACCCCTACAACTATATACCAGCTTCACTTCTCTGAAAACTATTTATTTCTTCTTGTTCCATTACGATACTAGTGTCGCTGATCACTTATCCCCCATATATACAATCACTTCTTCTACTGCTTTATTTCTCTCATTTTTCTGGGAATTTTTATAAAATTTGTGACATCGTAAATGGTTATATCATGCTCAGAAACACTTTACCTCTGTGCATTATAGTAGCCTTTTTTATACTACAGTTCATTGCACTCTAAAAGCATAAAAGCTTTCAAGGCAGTTGACTCTGTTAAAGTTGCATTTGCCTATTGCTTTGGATATTGTACATTTATAGGATAAAGCAGCAGATAAGTATTTAGACGGAAGAAGTCTTTCTCTAACTTTATGTGATACTTCTATTGAATGTTCTCTCAGTTGTCTAGAGGAGATTCTGTGTGTGTCATTCTTTGTTTTGATTTTCTTGCACCTTTAAATGATAGTCCTGTTTCAAATTCTATAAAACATTCAATTTCTTTTTCAATGGATAAAAATTACTTACTTGAAAATGTTTGGATTCTTTCTCTTGGTTTTTTTCATGGTTTTTTGTTTTATTATATGAGATTGATGGTCTTAACATCATATTTGGATTCTTAAGTTTAACTACCTAGATTTCAGAAGGACTGAGCAGACAGTTTATTCCATGCAAGTTAATAGGATTTGTGAGATGCCTGGTTGTTTTGCAATTAGTCAACGAGTCAACTTTGTTACAGGTCCTTAGTCGATTTGTTGGTTGTTTTTTAAACCTTGGCCCACATACCTTCCTCAATTTTTCACATAAATTAGGAGTTGCAATTTTATGGATAGGTTGTAATTTATTATCTTTTCTCTTAACGCCCACCTTGTACTCATCATTTACAAATGATAGTAAATAAACCACAAAACTTGGCATAAAGTATAATGGAAATCAAATTTAAATTAAATAACAGTAGAGGGAAACTTTTCATGCCAGAGAACTCAAAAAGATTGGGCTTTTTAAATGAGATGAACTAAATATATACAGTAGCACTCTCTAGACAAAGCACAAAATTTGCAAATGCTTTTTCTCTTCTTTGAAATGTAAGTATATTTCACTTCAACAAAGAGTTGTGCCTTTTTATCTTCTTTATGAGGTGTCATATGCATTGCCTAATGTAAATGAAAAATTGTACTATGTGGGTTCAAAATTCCTTTTCCTTTCATGCGCATGATATCTTTGCCTCTGAAATCTAACACAAATAAATCGTTATGTCAATTGAAAACAGCATTCGACACCAAAAAAAAAAAAAAGGGGGGGAAGGGTGGGGTGGTTAGAATATGCATGAGAAAAGGCATCTTCCTGAGTTTAAGAAACAACACTGCTTTGTTAAATACTCTGGATCTATTCCCTCTTGACTCAAGAGGGACTTCTGATGTATTTATTTACCTTCAGAGCTCTGTTTTAACAGCTTAGATGAATTTCCAAGTGGACCTGGCAGTGTTGCTTCTGGTGGTTTTCAGCTTCTATGAGTACACGGACTTCATGTTACAACTGTAGGATGCAAATACTACCAGCAGGGTTGTAGTTATCTTTCAAAACCTGTGTCCTCTTTCATTACAACTGTTTCTATTCTGCATAGGATGCTTATGAGATGTGATGTTGGTGTGTGTATAGTGTAGCTGTTAGTTTAAAGGCTCAGAAGGTATTGTCACTTGGGAATCTCATACTTTTAATCCCCAGAAGGCCTGAGTAGAACAACTCTTAGATGCTTTTCTGATTCTTCTCTTAGGATTTCTCAATTACTTTTGCAACTGCTTCCAGGTTAGTTATCTCTGAATCAAGAAGTATTACTGAATGCTGAAGGTGTGATTTCAGTCACATACCTTTTATCTTCCAGACCCAATGAAGGCTGTTCCATTGCCACTCTTGCCATTAGCTTCTATGTGTGTTCAAGCTTTCAGCAATAGTTTGTGCCAATCCTAGAGAAAGAGCTCCCTCAAAATGGTACTCTATTGCCACCAGAGCAGACAGATGACAATTCCACAGTGAGACCTCAAACAGGTCAGATTGCTTCAGCACAGCTCAAGAGGTTCCATCTCTGGGACCTCCCTAAGCACAAATAAAGTATTGACTTGTATTAAGAACCAGCCTAATTTTTTGCTTCAGATGTGAAAAGTCCATCTTATTGCTAATCTTGTTTGAGCATGGCCATCAAATTCATGACATAAACCTAGAGTAAATCAGACAATGGCTGCTGTATACAAAGTGAGCCAGCTGTGCATCTGGGGTATTTCAATGTCTGGCAGGCCTTGCCTTAGATTTCCTGTCATGGACTTGCAGCTTTTTTCAATTTGCCGTTGTGATGGGTTAGCCTGCTTATACAGCTACTGCATTTGCTTCGGGGGAAAACTTCTTATTAGATAGCTTCCAGGCATTGGAACTCCATGTTAGCTTGCAGGAGACCTCTAGCTCTCTTAAGGGAATGCAGAGATACATAAGCCCTGTGAAGAGGGCAGCATAACTATTTCAGAACCTGATCTTCAAGCCACATGAAAAAACGCATTGCAGGAAGGAGAGCTTTTGAGTCACTGGAAATTAAGCCCTCCCTTAATGTTTCTTGAATAAGGGAACATTTACACTATACTGTCTTCAGTGAGTAGATCAGCTTTGTGTCTGCAGAATTAGGATAATAGAGATAAGAATGTGAATTTTAAATTAGAGTTTGTGAAGCATGAATTATTGTGCTCAATTTTACATAAATGCTTAAATAAAAAGTAGAAGCACATGGCAAAGATAGAATTTAAATTCCCACATATGACAGTCAGAAAGTACTTGTAGCCAGGTTTCTGTTGTTAATCTTTTTTAAAATATTTTGCTAACTGAAAGTTTATAGCAGTATTATTATATGTTTAGAAAAGCTTATTTGACATGAAATCTTGTTTGTGAGCATAAATCTTTTCTAAAAAAAAAAAAGTGGAATGTCAAGTCAGTTTTGCAGATTTTTGTATTGTATGTATCTTCATTTACTTTCTGTGGAGTTAATGTATACATCAAAATGGGAAAATACACTCTGGCACCTATCAGTGGTGGAAGAAATGCATTCGCAGGGCACAATAATGATGATTCATAAGGAACTGACGTAACACATTTTGTGTAAGTGGCCTTTATGTAAGTTTGTTGCTTCTTGCTGAACAGCCGTCATTAGCTGCAAGACATGGCTGACTTCACAAAGAGTTCTAGGAAGTCTTGATTCGTTGTTGTGACTTTATTAATACAAAATCATGAACCTGAATTAACTAACCAATTTAGATAAGACCATCTGTTGTCTAATAAGATGTGACTGTAATTTGAATAGTCATTTTGTAATAAATGTATTATGGGATGAAGGACAAGCAGATATTAGCTTTGTCTCATTATCTTACAGGAAAAAAAAAAAAAAAGTAGTTAGTTTGCCAGTATGGAACATGGAATATTTTTTTCTTTAACTCTTAGCTTGTACTGTGTGCAAGTAGACCTTTCTGTCTGTATCCTCTCTACCAGATAATAATGTCAAAAACAAAAAGAAAATTAGATGCAGTGCACCTTTTGGAATACTCTTGTAGTCCCTCTTTAGTGGAAATAAATCTGGTTTTTTCTTGCTCGATTTTTTTCTTGAACTACCAGATACCCTGACTGCTGTGAAGATGAAAAGGCAGGAACTAGTTTATCAACATTATGTCAATGTTGCCTGGTTTTGCTTTGTTAGTTGCTCTGTCTGGTCTATTACAAGAAGATAATGTCAGCTAAGTACAGAGAGTGCTGGAAAATCATCCTTTTCTGTTTGGATGTTTGACAATGAGAAAATGGACAAAGCACGTGTAATGCTGATTTGTCAACTCAAACTCTCCCGAAAGCTTTCTCATGTTTTTATATGAATGTTAGATAATACTTTAGAGTAGATTAAGCTTTACTACTCACTATCATGCTTTTATTGAACCTCTAAAACTGAGTTTTATAGAACCATTGCCCAGTTAAGTAACGAGGATAAACCTTTTCTTTGGTCATACAAAGCTGGGCAATAATCCATGTGAATAAAGATTACAAAAGAAAGAAGTACACATTTGTATGGCAGTGACTTTTCGAAAAAAGAGAGAATATTGTGTATTTTATATTGATTTCTTGTTGAGCCGTTGCTTCCTCTCATATCTGAGTGACCTTGAATACAGGACAGCAAACCAAACAGTTAGCAAGGAATATAGTAGTACTAATTAGAGGGTTGTATTAAAACACCAAGCTGTGTGATGCAGTCAGCATGCTGGAGGGAAGGAATCCCATCCAAATGGACCTTGACAGACTTGAGAAGTGGGTCTGTGTGAACCTCTTGAAGTTCAATAAAGCCAAGTTAAAGGTTCTGCAGCTGGGTTGGGGTAATCCCAAGCACAAATATAGGCTAGGTGGAGAACAGATCAAGAGAAGCCCTGCTGAGAAGTCTTGGGGTGTTGGTGTATGAGAAGATCAACATGAGTCAGCAGTGTACACCCACAGCCCAGAAAGCCAAAATCATCCTGGGCTGCGTCAAAAGAAGTGTGACCAAGAGACTAAGTGAGGAGATTCTCCCCCTCTTCTCCTGTGAGACCCCTGGAGTACCTGGAATACTGCATCCAGCTCTGGGGCACCGAACACAGGAAGGACGTGGACCTGCTCAAGTGAGTCCAGAGGAGGGCCGTGAAGATGATCAGAGCTCTGAAGCACCTGCCGTATGAGAACAGGCTAAGAGACTTTGGGTTATTCATTCTGGAGAAGAAAAGGCTCCAAGTGAACTTGGGGCAGCCTTCCACAATGTGAAGGGGGCCTATAGAAAAGCTTGACATCAACTTTTTCAAGGGCCTGCGACAGCACAAGGGGATTGACTTTAAACTGAAAGAGGGTGTGTTTAGATTACACTTGAGAAAGAACTTCTTTACTGTGTGGGTGGTGAGGCACTGGAACAGCTTTCCCAGAGAAGTTGTGGATGCCCCATCCTTGTAAGTATTCAAGACCAGGCTGGACAGGCCTTTGAGTGACCTGGAATAGTGGAAGTGCGTTTCCATAGCACTGGGGTTGGAACTAGATGATCTTTAAGATTCCCTCCAGTTCAAGCCATTGAAAAAAAAATCATGAAAGCAAATATATGACATGCTAGACTTCCTATCACTCCCCATAATTGAGTTCCTTGCTATAGATTACATCAACAGGTTTTGCACTTCCATGTTTCAGAACACATATATACAAGAACATAAGATCACAAACAGTACCAAGCTCTTTGGTCTCCCTTTCTCTCTACTCTGCTGGTACCATCTTCACAGTCTGACTGCTGAGCTTTAGGGACTAGTGCTGAGTCTGGCAACTTTTCACTAAAAAGCTGAGTATCACATTGCTTAGTCAAAGAAAGAAAACAAACCAGTATTTTGCTGAAAGCAACCTGGCTAGGTCCGGCATAAAGGTGGGTTGTAATATGTAGGACAAGGCCCCCCATGAATATCAGATTGAGAAGGCAGTGTGGGCGCAGTGAGCTCCAAAGGCCAGTGTGTTTAAGTCTCTAGGAAAGGAAAGAATCTGAAACTGATTATTTTTATTAAAAGATCCAGTTATTGTACTGACTTTTTCAGAGAGGGAGGATAATGAGTTTTCTGTGCAACTTAATGAAGTATCACTAGAGAAGAAATTATGTAATATGAACTCTTTAGACAAGAATGAAAGAGCACGTTTTGTGTTCCCAGAATGGTAAAGATTCATTGCGGTTTCACATTTCCTAAAACGCCCTGAAGGGAAAATGATGTTTCTTCATAAATCCTATTGTATCATCTGGACAGGAAACTGCTTTTTGTTTGCCTTCACATGGTTTCAAAGCTGTAAAATAGCACCCACAAAATTTTCTGAAGCATTTCATTTTTTTAGTGGACCTTGTAAAGAGTTGTAAGGAGTGGGAAGCCTTTTGTACTTGCAGGAGAAGAAAGTCTCAACCAGGAAATACAGTCCAGGCAAAATGAAAATGTAGTTCTGCTCATTGACTTGCAAAAGATCAGAAGGTTCTTTGCACATGAAAAAAAAAACTAAAAAAAAACCCAAAAAAAAAAAAAAAAAAAAAAAAAAAAAACAAACAAAAAAAAAACACACATCACCATCAGGGCCACAAGCCTAAAAATAATATTGCAACATTTTAGTCGTGTGCAGTTTGTTTTCTTTGTATCTTTTATGTTGGGGTTTTTTGACACTTTTTGGATTTATGACTCATATCAAAATTCATTCTTTACTTCCAAGGCTTAAAGTAAAAGGAAATTGTTTTTCAGTAAAGGAAAGATAAGTTATACATGTAACAGTTTCATGTAATAGTTCTGTGTGGAAGATATTTTTGGACAAATATTGTTATACCTGTTACACCTTTTAAAATGGAAGATCATGTCTTGTATATGAGACTTCTGCTGAATATGATTAATTCCAGACAGCAACCATTGAAGCCTTTGGAGAGCAGAAAAAAAAGAAACAAAAAAACCCACACATTTCTCTTTTAAAGGCAAGGTTATAGTCAAGGTTAATTCAGGGTGTCATGAAAGTGTGGCTGTGACAAGATTTAGTGACAATGTAAGGGCAAATTAATGCAAGATCAGTGGCCTGACTATTGATTCTTATCATGGGATCCTGCTGAAATGAAGTCATTATTTAATTACACTTTTACTTACACTATAAATGGTTCCCAGAATAGACTGCACTCGATTTTGATATCTGCAACTCCATCTTCACTTTTCCTTCGTGCTCATAAATGAGTAGGGAATGGGTATAAGCACTCCACAAAATTTTCATTTATTATACTTCACATGCTTTAATTTTCTTGTGTTTTAATTCTTCTATTCAGAATACTTGGTGATATCAAATAATTTGAGATCAGAAACCTCTGAAGACTCTGAGACCAAAATTTCTCTAGGTTACTGTTCCTGCTAAAACAAGGAATTTGATTGGAAGCTAGAAGAAGATCATAAGTACTTTGCTGGGACTTGAGATACAACAGCAAGGGATTTGCCACACAGAAAGCTATATGGGCGAGCTCAAGATCTATAAAATGACACCAACATTCATTGAACAATCCAACTTGCATTGTTTCCCTACTATAGACTTGATTCTCTTGATTCTGAATCGTATCCGTTTGGCAAATTTGTGACTGAAAAAAGGTTGTCATTTATTCAGGTTTAATTTGTCTTGTGGATCAAGCCCAAGCCCCACATTTTTGTCAAATTACACAGATTTGAAGACGCAACAATTAGGAAAAATAATTGCAGTGGTGCTAGGTTAGTGGTTGGACTTATGATCTTAGAGGTCCTTTCCAACCTAATGATTCTATGAATGCCCACTGTCTCCTTTTTTCTCTTGTATATTGTATTTTTATATTATTTTTAAATAAAAGAAAATAAACCCATATAATTTACAGAACATAAAAAAATAATGCATATAATGAAGCAATTGTAGCCTTTGCAAGGCACTGTACTGTACTCTTAGTGAGATAGCCAAGATAGCCCATGGTGTGGACTTTTTTCCTTGAAATGTTATTCTCATTTTAAAACTTTTACTTAGAGAGAGAAAGAGTCAGCTTATTAGATGAGTAAGTAATGTAACAGCTTCCTGTAATAACCATCTCTAGTTGTCGCTTACTAATCAGACATTAAAAAAATAAACAAATAAAATGCAGTGCATAATGGCTTACTTGCTTATTCAGTAGCATCTGATTAGATATTAAATGATAACGTAGTAAGATCATTATGTTAAAAACCATAATATTAAAGAAATTTCATTTCTTTTCTGTGCACCCATCTCCATAAGTAATAGCTTTAAAATTTTCACATCTATTTTCAACTACTACAGAGGGAATATGTACATCTAAATTGGAGCTATAATATGTAAAGGATTTTGTTAATGCTTTTCCTCTCAATGAAGAGATCCCACTGTAGTGAAATTCTTTCTGGTTCAGCTTGTCTTTCAGTGCCCTTGACAACTGTAGGGTGAGAGAGAGGGGTGGGGAGACAAGAAGAGAGAGGCCAATTTCTATTCTTCAGGATTTAAGTCTTGGCTCCGTATGTTTGTCTCTCTTTCTTTTTTTTTTTTTTTCCTTTCTTTTTTTTTCTTTCTTTTTTTTCATTTCTTTAGCTTCTTCTAATCATAATAATTTTCCAACAGTTATTTTTGTTCCATTTCTAGCAGCAGGAATGTCACTGGTCTCACCATTTTTAAGTCTGTTCTTGCAGCCAGTCATGACTGTGGTAGGTAGAACAAGAAATGGGAATATGGGTTGTCAAGGGTTGATTATAGTAGGAACCCACTTTCAGGAGTCTCTTGCACAAGGGAATATTTCTGAAGCATTGTTTTGTACTTTGGTATTACAGTGTTATTTGCCAAAGCTGTCTTTGGGTTTTATACATATAGTTGTAGCCAATGGACAGAATAGAAAGATCAACTCTCGTATTTTGGCACACAGCAAAGGGCAGGTCTGGGCCCCCTAATATATTCTAATTTTTTTTTTTTTTAAACTGACTTCACAGCTTCCTTTTCTGTTATCCTTAAAAGCCTAGATGTTCACCTACACATGGAGAAAATCACCAAATCTAACAGAGAGATGGGAGACACTCAGCGAGAGAAGGAAGGTTGCTGAAAAAATCAAATGAATGCAATGAGGGAAAGTTTTGCTATGGACTAAAAGGAGACTTTATCACTCTCTACAACTACCTCAAAGGAGATTGTAGTGAGGTGGGTGTCACAGAATCATGGAATCGTAGAATGGATTGGGAAAACATAGAATGGTTTTGGATGGAAGAAACCTTAAAGATCATCTAGTTCTAACCCCCTTGCCATAGGCAGGGACACTTTCCGCTACACCAGGTTTCTCAAAGCACCTCCAATCTTTTCTCACAAGTAACTGGGCAAGAGGAAATGGTTTCAGGTTGTGGGTGGGGAGGTTTAGATTGGATCTTGCCAACAATCTCTTCACTGAAAAAGCTGTCAAGTACCAGAAGTGGTGGAATCACTATCCTTTGAAGGTATTTAAAAGACATGTAGATGTGTCACTCTAGGGACATGGTTTAGTGGTGGCCTTGGCAGTGCTGGGTCAGTGGTTGGACTCAATGATCTCAGCAGTCTTTTCCAACCTAAATAATACTGTGATTCTATGACTAGTTGCAACTAGAAATCAATTTTACCCTCGTTAGACTAATTCAGAAATAAAATTTAGCCTTTCAACTGATGTTATTTTGGATAGCTTTCTAACATCAAGAAACTTCTCATTAGAAGTATTGTTTTATAAGCTGTAAAAACCGTTGAACTTTTACTTTAACCTGTTTTATTTTTAGTTTCACTTACTTAAGAGTAGAACAGTGTCCATCAAACGAAACTTTCAAAAAAAGCTTACTTTATTTGATTACTTTTCTGTGGGCTGTTCATGCTGTAGGTTTGTGGGACTGTGGATTAAGGTGCAGAGTGATGGTGGCAAAATTAGATGGAAAATAAGCATTGACCACAAAAAGGGACTACTTTTATGCCATGATTTTTCTCTTTTAATTAGAAAACTGTCTTTTGTTATGAGAGGAGCAAACTGGATGTACCCAGTTGAAATAGACCTCAAAAATTAATTTTTAGGTCGTCTATCAAATGGCATTTTACTGATATGGGTAATCAGCAGGTAACACCAGTTTGCTTCTTGGGCCAGAGATACTTGGGCTGCAGAATTCAGTTACTG